TGGAAAACAGTATGGAGGTTACTCAAAAAGTTGAAAATAGAGCTGCCCTACGACCCAGCAATTGCACTACTGGGTATTTACCCCAAAGATACAAATGTAGTGATCTGAAGGGGTATGTGCACACCAATGTTTATAGCAGCAATGTCCACAATAGCCTAACTATGGAAAGAGCCAAGATGTTCATCAACAGATGAATGGATAAAGAAGATGTGGTGTGTGTGTATACACACACACACACACACACACACACTGGAATATTATGCAGCCATCAGAAAAACCCCAAAATCTTGCCATTTGCAACGACGTGGATGGAACTAGAGGGTACTATGCTAAGCGAAATAAGTCAATCAAAGAAAGACAAGTATCATATGAGCTCACTGATAATGAGGAATTTGAGAAACAAGTAGAGGATCATAGGGGAAGGGACGAAGAAATGAAAGAAGATGAAACCAGAGAGGGAGAAGACAAACCGTAAGAGACTCTTAATCTCAGGAAACAATCTGAGGGTTGCTGGAGTGGTGGGGGGTGGGAGGGATGGGGGGCTGGGTAATGGACATTGCGGAGGGTATGTGCTACGGTGAGCGCTGTGAATTTTCTAAGACTGGTGAGTCATAGACCGATACCTCTGAAACAAATAATACATTATATGTTAAAAAGAAGAAGATAATAGGAAGAGAAAAATGAAGGGGGGGATTGGAGGGGAAGACGAACCATGAGAGACTATGGACTCTGAGAAACAAACTGAGGGTTTTAGAGGGGAGGGGGTGGAGGGATAGGTTAGCCTGGTGATGGGTATTAAGGAGGGCAGGTATTGCATTGAGCACTGGGTGTTATATGCAAATAATGAATCATGGAACACTACATCAAAAACTAGTGATGTAATATATGGTGACTAACATAACATAATAAAATAAAATTAAAAAAAGAAAACTAAGAATTTAAAAAAACATCTAATTTTAGACAATGCTACTTTCTGAAGATTTGTGAGACAACTGAATGAAGTGACTTGTCATCTATAAACCAGTCACAAGTCTGGACACATCTATCAAAGGCAATTTTAGTTTTAGAATTGTTGCCAGGTATTCCCTTCTAACTACAGTTAATATCAGAACCAGGAAGATCAGAAAAATCCCAATAACAACCTCTATCAAACGGGATCTTGAAAAGAAAAACCTGAGAGAAAACATCCAGAAACAAGTTACAGGAAGCTGATGACACCTTCTCACAGCCTAAATTGAAAGAGGCTTGGTTCCACCTCTGGCTTTTATTCACACAACTTTATAAGAGATAATCAAAGGTGTCTAATGCATTTGCCTGAAGTCTGAGAATGTGAGCAGGCAGGAGAGGTAAAGTGCCTTCCCTAATTGCAAAGCAAGGCCATGGACTCAGATGGTTCTTATTTTGTGGCTACACAGACAGAAAATGAGTGAAGATGGCATTCTATGTGAGCTACAAACTGCCCCTTCCAACATAATGGCAGAAGGTACCCATCACACACGTACTGGCTCAGGAGAAAGTCCTATAAGAATCTAAATTAAGGGAGTATATATACTATACATACTAGGTCCAAGCCTAGACATTTAGACTTTTATTCTCTTGCTACCACTGATAGCTTTGTCTTTTAACATGAGTCTTCCACCCCTATATGTTATTTTCCAGCTTTTCTGTAACAAGAATAAATGAAGAAGGGAGAGTGCACATGAGATGGGCTATGTACAAAAATCATAAGGAAAATTTAGTGACCCAATACAAAAAGGCAGAGTAAGGGATTGAAAAAGCATCAAAAAGAAGGGAAGGAAGAGAGGTGGGGGAAGAAGGAAGGGAAAAAAAGAAACTCCAATACCAGGAAGTGGATACTAGATACTCCAATACTAGAAAGTGGTATAGCCATTCAGAAAGGCTAACTAGAAATCTGATAATAGAATTAAGTGCCTGCCAAAATTTATTTATGTGGGAAGTGCTTTACAAGTTTGAGTTTGAGTGTGACCAGCTTTAAAAACTAGATTTTCCAGCATACAGTGTGAGGACACAACCCTAAGGGTTTCTGGAAAGCAACTATGATCATGAAGAGTATGACAAATATCAGGTTTGGACATCTATTTAACTTGCTCCAACTAACCTGGAGGACCAATAATGCAAAAACACTCCACAGGTAAGTATGAGGGCTAAGGGGCCTGGGGATTTCAGGTTGTCTCTATCCTCACCGTGAAGCCAGTTCTTCAATTACAGGCCTGCCTGCTATCAAAGGTCAGAGACCTTCACTGCTTCTCCCCAAAAATCAAATTCAGGAAGGTTAATCACTTAAAAAAAAAAAAAACTAATTATTTGTGCTTTAGTCATAATTATCCTGACTGAACCAGGTAGATTTTAAGACATTTTAGCCACAAGACTAGCCAATTAAAAATGTTTTCCGGGCGCCTGGGTGGCTCAGTTGGTTAGGCGGCTGCCTTCGGCTCAGGTCATGATCCTGGAGTCCCGGGATCGAGTCCCGCATCGGGCTCCCTGATCAGCAGGGAATCTGCTTCTCCCTCTGACCCTCTTCCCTCTCGTGCTCTGTATCTCTCATTCTCTCTCTCAAATAAATAAAACCTTTAAAAAAAATAAATAAAAATGTTTTCCTATCTCAAATCCCTTCCACAAGAGTTTTAGAAACCCAAAATAGAAAGGGAGAGCCCCAAGATATAGCAATTATTACCAAAAAAAAAAAAAAAAAGCAGCCTTCAGGGGATCTCAGATGGTCTCCAGGAAAGCCTGGGAGAAAGCTGCTGTAAAAATCTGTTCCCAAAGATACTGAGCTCTGTTATCCACTGTGATGCCAGTTACGTGGTTCCTGTCACAAAGGTTCCCGCAACTCTTGACAACCTTCAAAACAGTCACACAGAAATGCACTGCACTTTGGTTCTCAAGTTCACCCCAATAGCTGTTAAAATACAGCATCTCAGGCCTACCTCACACCGCTTGAATTAGAATCCTCCTTTTAACAAGATCCCTAGGCGCTTTAAATAAGTACCGTAAGTAGCACAGAGCTCCCAGCTGTGCTACACCATAGCCATCAGGGGCACAAATGGAAGTTCCCGGGGTGCCTTACACCTGGAGGGTACGAGGAAGAAAGGGGACTAGGGAGTACCAGGCCAGCAGCTCCTCTGCTCAAGAGCTGGGGGCGGAACTGGCTACAGCAGTTTTCCCTTGGTCTGGACCCGACAGGAATCCAGCTCAGTGAGAGTAAAACTCCAAAGGTGAGTGTTCAGGGCGCCCGGTCCAGCCCGGGTCGACCACACGGTCCTCGCCCCACCAGCCCCTGCCCAGGCCGACCTCTCACCTGCTCCTCCTGCGGGAGCGGCTTGAGAGGGCTCCGAGCCCCGTGTCGGAACACGACCTGCACCATTTTCAACTCCAGCGGACTCCGGTCGACGGGATGCTGGCCGTCCGCCCTCCGTGGCTCCGCCCCGGCGGCCCGCCGCTGGTGGACGCAGTAAGCCAGCGAGGTCAGGAAGCCCACGGGCCCCCACATGCGCACGCTGAACACACCGCTGATCATGGTGGAAGCCGCTCGGCGGCCCTCGGGGGTGAGGCTGCAGAAGGCGAATATAAACTTTCCGCCCGCGCCGGGGCTCAGCGGCCGCCCCCAAGTTCCCGGGAACCCGCGGGCACGCACATCCAACGACCCGCGGCGACTCCCGGCCCTAAGGGAGACCCCAAGTGGGAGCGCAGGGGTTGAAGCGGAGGTGGGAGCAGCGAAGACTCCCTGGGAGTTTTAACTCGGGTTGGGGTTGGCCACTCCCGCAGCAGACCCGGCAGGGGGAAGCTCAGCTCCTAATCTTTCACCCTCTAGGGGATCTTAAACTTGGAATCCAAGTTTGGCCTCCAGGGCTCCAAAGGGACAGGAACCAGCCCTGAGTTCCTCGGCAGCCGACTCCACGAACACAGACGACTAGACTCCACTTTTCTGTCATCAAGCTCCCACACACCTCTTCAGCCACCCAAGGACTTGTCCCAAGCCGATCTGCGCATAGGAGCATGGGAAAACGAGTCCCGCGGTGACGCCCGTTTGGAGGCTCTGAGTTCTGAGAACTACAACTCCCACAAGGCTGCGCGCGGCGGAGTCCTTAGTTGGAAGTAATTCCTCGCCTGGGACAGCGGACCTCGCTCTTCAGCTCCAGCGGGTGCAAGTCTCCAGGACTGGGTGGCCAATGTAATAGGAGTGAATCCGCCAGTTTCCCTGGCCGATAGGGTAGGAAAAGTGAAGACTGGGGTAGAATTGGGTGGCTGAGGGGAGTGATTTAAGTCTAAGGAGTGTAGATTTTCTTGAAGTCCTGGAAGGTCGCTGGAACTAAGAGCCCAGAAAACCAACTTACTGAGTGATGACCATTTGCGAAGGGCGGCACTAGGCATTTTATATTTAATCTTCACTTACTATACCTCTTCTAAGTTTAAAGAGGCCTAAATTGTCGCAAACATGTAGAACTTTAAGCTCACTGATGTGTTTACTCATATCCAAAGCGTTTCTTGTGGAAAAATCCAGGTCTTGCCTGTGGGTGTCCCAGTGACTGAATACCTTAATTTACAACCCATAGCCGCCTGTTGGTCTGATTTCTCTTGCATATAGGATTACCTCAAGCCTGTGTGCCAGGTCTTTGCAACAGGACACAATGGAACCAGCTGTGTCTATCTGAAGGCAAAAGTCAAGATGAGAGGAGGGACATTTGTGAGAAGAGTCTGAATATATGTCCTCTAACGAGTTCTTAAATCCTTCTAAATTCTAGTCCTGGATCAAGCTGGATCAAACGTGAAGACAACATAATTATGGAGTATGAGTCCTGACCTAGGTCTAAACTTGTTCACCAAGCTAGAATGTTATGAATGCCCTACTGTGGGGGAAGGGTCATTTTGGAACACCGCACATTGTCACAGTTTTCCCACTAGCCTAGCCCATGGATGGACTCACTCCTCAGAGTCTTACTGTGCATCCTGATGTGATTACAAACCAAAAGCTGTTTTTCTATAGCCTAAATAAGGCATCAGGAGTGCCAGACAACACTGCTTCGGAAACCGTGTGATGAACTGTAATCCCAGTGGTTCGAGAGAGCTGTTCTCAACAGTTGAGCAGAAACATGGTACAACTGTCGTACAGAAGGGCCCTGAGCCCTGGGAGCCTTAGCACATCAGTGCAGCTTCAAGGCAATGTAACATTGGCATCTGGGTGCCAATACCTTCGCCAGTAATTGACAGGCCACCCTAGTCCACACCCTGCACTGTGGCAGCCTCAGCATCAATTTGTCAAGCATTATGAGCAGCACCTTTGACTTGTATGAGCAATAGCAGCAGCTTGTCTGGACAGGACACATATATGTGGTCGGGGTGACTGTGCTGGGGATGCCTCAGCAGCAGATCTCTGCAGGAAGCCAGAGCAGGTGAGGTTGGAAAATGACAGATTCCATGTGGTAGTTGAGAGCACTGTTTGTCAGCACGTATAAGACAACTCTTGGGGAGTCCTGTAAATATTTAATATGTGATGTATGGTGATGCTGGTAGTGGTGGTAAACTGTAATTTAGAAGAAAGGCTAGAAATCCTGAAATCATGCTCCGGGGACAGCCCCAGGAGAGGAGGGAGGAGGTAGAGGAACTGAACTACTGTTGTGCCCCCAGGTTTTGCCATCAGGCAGGGATAACTTGGAACACCAGCCTTTTCCCACCAATTTGTGTACAGAGGGTTGCATTTAATATGATGCCAAAACTTGGTTTTAATCATGAGATTAGATAAGAAACAACCACATTCATTGTTTCTTCTGCAGTAGTGAGCACAGTGCCTGGCTTATAGTAAGTACTGCATAAGTACTTGCTGAATGAAATCGTAGGATATATCACAGGAATGTTGTTGAGGACATTGCCCATTTCATCACTTTTTGCTCCCTATGTAAACCTCCTCCTGAGAATTGTTTTTTTAGAGCAATGTGATAGCATTAGAACAAGCATTGAAAAACTATCAAGATTACTTTTCCTTTATTTTTGCCTTAGTTGACAGGAGCCTAATTTCAAAACTACATCAAATATTTAGGACCTAATGGCCAGTATAGCTGTGGTCTTTTCTTTCAGGGTATCACCCTGGATTGGAAGGAAGCAAAACTGGAGAATGGTCAGTTAGGAGGCTGTTGCAGCATTCTGGGTGTGAGTTAACAGGAGAGAGAGGGAGGAAGGAGTCAAGGATGACTCTTAAGTTGCTGGCTTGGGCAGCTTGCAGAGGATGCCATTTACCTGGAAGGAGTTTGAGTGGAAGTTACCAGGGTAATTTTGAATATATATGTTATGAGGTACCTGTGAGGCATCTACGTAGAAATACAGTCTACACAATTGATTATATGGGTCCGGAGCTCAGAATGCGTTGGACTAGGAGTGTATACATGGGACTCTTCTGCAGTAGTTATTAATTGAAACAATAGGCATGGATAAGATGAATGGGGAGAGAAAGAGAGGGTGCTAGGAAAGGACTCTAGGAGCCCACCACTTAAGGGAAGGGCAGAGGGAGAGAAGCCTGAGAAGGAGAGTGGGAAGGAGCAGCACAGAGATGGGAAGAAGAGTTAGATATCAAGGAAGCCAAGAGAAGGAAGTTTCCAAGAAGGGAACAGACAACTGTCAGATTGGAACTGAGGTGTCAAATAACGTATGGACTGAGTGTCCATTCGATTTAACAGCTAAGTAATTTTGGGTCATTTTAGTGAGAGCAGTTTCAGGGAAATAATGGGGTGGAAATTAAAGTGGGCAGCAAATGGGCAGTCAGTATAGGCATCTTCAAGAAGCTTAGCTGAGAAGAGAAGGTGAACCAGTATAGTGGCTGGAGGTGTTTGGTTCACGAAATTAAGGGAGAATTATCTTGACCATGGGAGAAGTTTGTATAGTTGACCCTTGAACAACAGGGGTGTGCACTTATACGTGGATTATACAGTATGGTAAATGTGTTTTCCTTATGATTTTCTTTTTTTCTACCTTAACTTGATTGTAAGAATATGGTACATAATACAAATAACATACAAAATATGTATTAATTGACTGCTTGTGTTTTCAGTAATGCTCCTAGTCAAGAGTAGGCTATTAGAAGTTAAGTTTTTGGGGAGTCAAAAAAGTTATACGTGGATTTTCGACTGTGGATGCTGGGAGAGAGGGGCTGGTGCTCCTAACACCGTGTTGTCCAAGGATCAACTGTACATATGTTTAAATGTCGATAGAAAGAAGGCTCTAGATAAGGAAATATTAAAAATGTAAGAGACAGGGTAATAGATCGAGTGAAGTGCTTGGAAGTGTAGGAAAAGATGAAAAATGAACTCAGATGTCATAGCCTCAGAAGGAGAAAATACATATTTTCCATGTTGACAGGAGGGAAAGTAGAAAGACTAGATATGAATGAAGTTACATATATAGTGTGGGAATTAGAGGGTTTTTTTTTCCTTTAATGGTTTTTTTTCTATAAAATCAGGATGTGTGTGGGAGGGGTGCTGGGCTTGATACTTTTGAAGATTTGAGGACTATGGAAAAGTGAAATATTCACAGTATATACAAGAGTGGGTAATGAATAGGTAACTAAATACTTTTCTCCAACTGCATGGCACATCAGATTCACCTGGGGTGTTTGTTAGAACGCAGGTTCCAGAGCACCAATGTGTCCTACTAGATTGGGGTGGGGCCAGGACTCTGCATTTTAAACAAGCATCCCAGGTGATTCTGATATAGGAGCTCTTCAGATCACACTTTGAGAACTACTGATGAAGAGTCTAAGAGGGCATTATTTTAGTATGGGGGGATTTCTTATAAAAATGGAAAAAATTTGCCAGTGGAGAGGAAACAAGACAAAAAGGAATCACTGATAGAGCAAAATCCCTCAGGAGGTGGGAGAAGCTGTGATAAAGAAAGGAGGAAGGATCAGCCTTGGACAGGAGAAATGTCACCAGTTAAGATCCAATTAAGATCAGCCATAGGGGCATCTGGGTGGCTCAGTCGGTCAAGGGTCTCCTTTTGGCTCAGGTCATGATCTCAAGGTCCTGGCATCAAGCCGCGCCCCCCAATCCCAGCTCATCCGGGAGTCTGCTTCTCCCTCTCCCTCTGCCCCTCCCCCTTGCTCATGTGCACGCTCGCTCTCTCTCTCTCTCTCTCTCAAATATATAAATAAAATCTTAAAAAAGAAAAAAAGATCAGCCATAGACAGAAGGGTTATGTCTTTCATTAAGGGTCACCTCTTCCATTAAGATAGGAAAGAAGGAGGTAAAGATACACATCGAGGCAGATAAGATTGACAGTTTCACCTCCAACAGATTATTTCCCATAGTGATCTCTCCAACAAGCTTGGAAAAGAGAAAAACTGTCAGTAATAACAATAATAATGTCAATTATGTATTATATTATAAATATACAATATAATTATATAATTATAGGTATATAATTATAATTGGCTTGTGGGGTAGTTTGAATTAGAACTCCTGCCTCTGTAACATCTGGACCTACAATATGAGCCACAGATTATACTGCTAAACTTATATTGGGGAGGGGTTAGTAATTTGTGTGTGATAGAGCATGGATGATATCCCTCCA